GCGTGCCATGTGATTGATATTCTCATATGCCTACTCGCCCGCCCTTGATATGTTGGCATCGCTGCAAAGTTCAACAATTTTTCACTGCAGGTTGATTCTCGATCTAAATGTTCTGTTCCTTCGCTCCTGCATGGTCATGCGTCCGCTCACCTAAGATCACCAGAACCGATTTTACGACGGGCCAGAGCATCATTTTATTTTACTTCAGTTTCGGAGTGCATGTCTGCTACATTGATGCAATTTTACATACAGTCTACATACAATTTTATGGGCGTTTTAGTAAGTAGTTATTATTTACTCAATGCAACCGGATTCGAATTAAAAGCTTGGAAGTAACTTCCTACTTCACAAATGTACGCCGTTCTCTCTTTATGAAACTGGTTACAGGCTGCTGGATTATGCAAACTGTTTTGCGCCGTTGACGAGAAATGAACAAATCTTGTGCTGCATGTTTTGAATACATTAAAGGAGTAGGAAATGGCCCCTCTGGTTGAAGAATGTGGCTCGAGCAATGCTTAAACAAGATGAGATCAGCATATTAAAAAACCGTGCTATTTCAATTTCGAAAGTGCCCGTTTGGCTCCATTTTTCACTTTTGGACAGTATGATATGCAGTTATTTTCATGGGTTGCCATTTCCATTTACGTACGGTTACGCAGATCCCCAATCAGACATTTTCCTAACCGAAAAAGATATCTGCTTCAAGGAATTTTAGCTGTTAACGAAACGGCATTGTCGGGCATTGCGGCGAGGAATATCCGTACGATTCATGGTCGTTACGGTGGCCAAGTCAGGCTTCACAAAGACGGAGCCAGGTTTGACTTCTTTTTCAGATTGAAGGGGTCGGACTAATATGATCTTAAAATGAGTCAGTCATGCCAAAAAGTCGGTCCGAGCTAAGCGTGGAGAACGTCGTGCCGTATTAACACCATTCATTCCGTTCCATTCTTTCCGCTGGTCTTGTACCTTCATGCTGCTATAGTTCAGCAGAGATTTCGGGCTTTGCTATGGACTAATGGAGGGCGAGCACGACACACATAAACAAAGCTGGCTATAACAAAGCTGCCATGTAAACAAAGCCCTCTGGTTCTTATGTTCATGTTCTGGGCTTCTCTGTATTACGTGTGAAAGCAATGTGCACCTCAGCTACGAAAGTTCCCTTAAATAGCTGACTTTATCGTCACCCCAAGGTGTGCATTTTGCGACTTTCAAAATATCTGTCCGTATCGTAGCAAGAAAAAAGTCATGATCTCGTGAAATCCCCGACGTGTGAGAAAGAGGCTGGTTTTCATATCGGCCCGTCGGCTTTATCCACCACAGCTCCTCGCATGTGCTTGTGATGCCTACAAAATCACAATACGAACCGCAGTTGTAATTATTTTCTCACATATACACGCCCACTCTTGATATGTTGGCATCGCTTCGAACTTCAACAATTTCTAACTGCAGGTTGATTCTCGGTCTAAATGTTCTGTTCCTCCGCTCCTGCATGGCCATGGGCTGGCTCCTCTATGATCACCACTGATGATGCTACGACGGGCCAGAGCATCTCTTTACTTTACTTCAGTTCACAGTGGGTGTCAACCCCACGGTTAAACCAGCTGCGTTTATGAAGCCCAATTGATGCTTGTTGAGGTGCGGGGTAACTCCTTACTTCAGATGTCCCGCACATAGTAGAATTTCAGGGCGTTGAAGTTAACAGTCACTATCTACTCCACACAACCGCATTCGAAGCAGAAGTTTGGGAAGTAACTCCCTACGCCACCATTGTACGCCGTTTTCTCTTTATGAAACTGATTATCGGCAGTGCTTTTTATTTTGGCAGCGTTTTAGTTCGTGGTAGCCCTTTTCACGCTTACATTATTGGTCAGAGCTGAAATGCACAGAAGAAGTAAGCGCTGCAGCGAGATTCATTGAATGCTGCCAGATATATAAAGAACACCGGTGATCTGCGAAAGGCATGTCTCTTTTATTTTTCAGGTTAGGCCACTTCCATCCCATGCACATTTGGATCGACTACCATTGGTTCGAGTGCATTTCCTGTGTGCCACAGGGCGTTTAACGCCAAGATGTGAAGAGCTATGCCAGTAAGAACATTTGACCTGACCTATGCAGATGTCGTCCACCGCCATTCCCTATTCTCACCCCTGCCGTTCCCGTTCGACGGCATGTGGTTGTCCCACAATGACCATTTGTTGGGCGCCCGGCACCACATATGGGGATCTGCATTGAACCATACGTTGTAAAATATATGACCTTTGGCGTAGGTACTTTGTCAAATAGAGTTATCCTGGTAAACATTTGCGTACAAACTCTGCGCATTTTCATCCTACATCGGTGTGCGAACATTTGCGTACATTTCCATTATAGACTTATCCCGACCAGCAATTTACCATACGAATTATATCCTATACGATCCTTTTGCACTGCGTACTTTCGGCGTCGTGAACTTATTTATCCTTGTACTTTTTCCTGACAAACTTAAGACAAATTTTGCTTAATTCTACGAACAATGGCAATACGAACTTTTGTTTATGTCTTGTGCGCAAACTAGCGATGCTAGTCAAGGCTTACGTTGTTTAGATTAGAGCCCTTTGGTCCAGGCATGACTTTCCGAGCTGTGAGATGAAGGAGAGTGGATGGCGGTGGGCAGAACTATGCGCACCTGGGGTTCATCCGCCGAGACTTAGCCGGTGGAGGGTTTGTGCTCGATGTTCAAGCGGAGAACCCCCAGGGACCCACTCGAGGCTGGTACCTCTAGCCTTCCCCGGATACACGGGGTATCGCGAGGATGCAAGCTGAATTTAGAATGGGGAAAGTAAGACCGATATGGATGATAGCTAAACACATAATGAATTTTGTGCCACTATCCCGTTTAGACAATCTGTTAGGTTGTAAAACTATCAAATCATCTCATTGTTTTTCCAAAGTAAAAAGAAGTATGCCTTTTTGCATTACTCTCTGCCGCTTTCCCTTCCCAAACCGTTATTATTTGTGGTTTAGGGCGCGTCGACTACGGGGTTAGCTATGCGCCCCTGCCCGAGTCAGTTTCTACCCATACCGTGCGTAATCCGTACCTGACGGCTTCAGCTTTGACTGGACGGTCGGGTGGAACGGTGTTACGCCGTTGAAAACTTTTCTGTCTTCGCTGAAACAAACGCTAAAACTTTTCTTTGAGGCGGGCCTGAGCCCGAGGTGTTGGGGCAAACAAGGCGGCGCTGATGTCGGTGGTGGTTGGGGACTGTAGGTCGAGGCGCCAAGACATAGTCTGTGCAGAATTGACACCAATCCCTGTCGTGTTGCACGCTGTCGTTCTGTGGATAATGGAGATAAACATGCGATGAGTTGAGTGTCAGGGAGCGCAACACCATTGATGGGGAGCTAGCCCACATGCGTCTTCCCTATATCCCTAGCCAATCATTTGGTCAAATACTCAAAACCAACGACGGCACGCCGGCTCGAATGCACACGCCTTGGATCATTAACACCGGTTACGGGATATCTCACATCTGACGGGGAAAACAAGGATTCCCGCGTCTCTGGATAAGGTATGATGACGTGTATGTGCTTATCGCTGCTAAACCGCAGCACTTACCCAGGTTTTCCTTGACCTTTCCGAACAATGCTTAGCTGTCTGCGGATTCAATGACGTCACATGTTAGAAGCCGATCTTCTCAAAACTTTTGAGTGCGGATTTTCGGTCGCGAGCCTTGTCTCGTGCTTTTTGGAAAATACGTCAGGTCAGGGCGTCGTAGTCAGGTTTGTCGAAGTGGGGGAGTGTAGAAGTATTGGAGTGTTTCGGATGAACCGTTTTGATCATAACACCAAAACATGAACCGTTTTAACTCCCCCTGCCAGCTGATACGCTCTCGATTATCCGTTATATCCACACTCCAGAGATACATATCCGAAAAGCAGTTTGCTTGCAAAGGAGCACAGCAGGGTCACAAGCGTGAGATGAATATGCCTCATGAAATAGATGACCCAAAACCTGTCGCGACCCCCACAGGTGATCTCGCCGACTGGAGCTGAACTGGCCGCGGCCCTCAGCGGCTAAGGAGCCCTGGCGCTGAGGCCGCCGCCGCATCACCTCGGCCCGGCGGCGCTGGACGAGGCGGCAGTGCTGTGCTCCGGCAGCACGTGCCACGGCCCGGCGAACAGGGCGCGCGGCGGCTAGGCGCGGCCTTGTCGGCCGGTTCCACGGTGTCACGGCCGTGCTTGACCCGAGGGTCAGGTTAGTGGTCCCCGGCCTATCCGGGACGACTCTTAGAGCTCACCCTGCTGGCTGGCGGCGGCCGGTGTAGCGTGGAGCGGTAGACTGCGATATAGCGAGAGAAACGGTCTCAGTGACCACTAATCTCAATATCGGACAGTTCCTCCATAAGTCCCGCCGGCCCGTATCCGTATCGGTCCTGTCTCGCGTGAGGCATCACGTGGGTTGTCACCGCGGATATTCTCTTCGAGGGTCTGCGCGTCACCACCACGGGTATTCTCTTCGAGGGTCAAGCTCGAGGGTCTGCGCGGATGTTACAAAGTCTCCGTTAAGTAACTTTATGTCGTTCCCGCCGAAAACTTCTCATGACGTCACAGCTGGATGTGAAGTTATGTGATGTGGGTGTTCATCGACCATAACATCCCCACCAGGAGACTTGCATGGATATTTACTTAAAAAAAAGCGGCTCGCAAACATATTCAAACATCAAACTTAATTGCGTGCAAGTACGAAGCATGCTATCGTGCATGAAAACAATCGTTTTGGATCAACTCACGGCCACTCCATCACGCGGTCACGGTCTCCAGACCACGCAATTAGATACGCATAGGTGTCGCCGAGGAAGCTTGGTGGGCTGTTTGCGAATGCGCCGCCTACCGGGCAGAATGCTTGTGAGCAGCGGCGCGCGGCGGTCAGGGTGTAGTCGTGGCTGCGCTTCGCTGCTCCGATGCTGATGTGAGGATGGTTGATATATTAACGTTCTCAATTCTTCAGAACATTTCGGCTGGAACCAATCCCAGAAGGTTCATACGGCGGGCACTTTATTTTCTCCGTATATCGTCCAAAAACAACGCTTTCAGAAACCTGAGAGCAACAACCGGTACAATTCGCGCCCACATGCACATGAAAGCTGCGTGTGCATAGGCCGCTCGGCTGCGCGCACATGAACACGAGACGCATGCAATAAAATAACGGCTCTCATCCGGATTGGAACCCAACCACTCGGTGACCTTCCCGCCCGCGACTGGCCTCTCTTTTGGGCTGCTCCCTCCCGGCTGCGGTACCGCGAATGCCACTTTGTAGGCTCAGACAGCACGGCAGCCTTCCTCGGCCACCGTTACGTCAGACACGTGTCGGCCCGTTGGTCGGCAGACACACATGGTTGTATACATTTGCCATCAGTTTGTAGGTAAAATAAATAAAAAGCGCTGATACCACGCGTATAAATAGGCACAATTTCGCAGTTCTTGGTAATAGAACACTGTTCAAACACGTCAGCACGCACACAACATGCATTTTGAGCATAACGTAAAGCAGAAACGTACACTACAAGCAATTGGACGATGGGCACGTTTTGTTTCTAAGTGGGTCTTTGTCCCACGTACATCGAGGCAATACGCAGATCATCGACACAGCCTGTCACCACGGTGCCGGCCGTCCCGCAGTGTATCCAGCCACCGTGTCGGGACCCGCACCGCCGAGAGCGCGCAGCGAGCCGCACAATCACGGATTCGGCCACCTGAGGGGCGAGCCGCCGTCCTGCAGCCCGCCGGCCGCACCATACCAGCTGAGGCGTCAAGCAAGGCTCCAGGTGGCCCGCTCCGTCGCCCGGGGCGGCGTGGTGCGACGACACAGCCCGCCCGGCCAGCCGTCCTGCTGTCCGTACATGGCCACCCGGCTAACCGTCCTGCCGTCCGTACACGACCACCCAGCCAGCCGTCCTGCTGTCCGTACGAGACCCGCTGTCCGTACTAGCTGTCTGTAGTAGCCGTCCTGCTGTCCGTACACGACCACCCGGCTAGCCGTCCTGCTGTCCGTACAAGACCCGCTGTCCGTACTAGCTGTCCGTAGTAGCCGTCCTGCCGTCCGTACACGGCCACCCGGCTAGCCGTCCTGCTGTCCGTACACGGCCACCCGGCTAGCCGTCCTGCTGTCCGTACACGGCCACGGAGCTTACCGTCCTGCTGTCCGTACACAGCCTCTAGCCGTCCCGCTGTCCGTACACGGCCACGGAGCTAGCCGTCCTGCTGTCCGTACACAGCCTCTAGCCGTCCCGCTGTCCGTACACGGCCACGGAGCTTACCGTCCTGCTGTCCGTACACAGCCTCTAGCCGTCCCGCTGTCCGTACACGGCCACGGAGCTAGCCGTCCTGCTGTCCGTACACAACCTCTAGCCGTCCCGCTGTCCGTACACGGCCACGGAGCTAACCGTCCTGCTGTCCGTACACAGCCTCTAGCCGTCCCGCTGTCCGTACACGGCCACGGAGCTAGCCGTCCTGCTGTCCGTACACAACCTCTAGCCGTCCTGCTGTCCGTACACGGCTACCAGGTAGTTGTGCGGCGCGTAGTGCAGGCTGACCGCCGCCGAGCCCGGGCACACGAACGTAGAGGCCGGCGAGGCGGCCGCCTCCCTGTAACACGCTGGGACGTGTCGGTCGCGGGCGGCGACGTCGGAACAGGGCAGAGCGGCGGCGCCCCGCTCTCTGGCTCGCCGTTCCGCCCAGCGGATACATCATACGGCTCTTTATTGGTGCCTGTGACTGCTCAGGTCATCAACAGCGTCACCCTTTGGTGGAGGCGGGGATTGGTGAACGGTCCTGAGAAGTGCAATGATCATTCATATTATGAAACACTCAATGATAGGTGGTCAAATGAGAAAAAGAAAGAGAGCATTAGGCTGTAGATGGCACATGTTGTCAGTTTCTCCGCGCAACCACTGTCATTTCCCTTCATTATCATGGCTTCGGAGACTGACTACTCCATGCTCTGCTCAATGCAGGTTGAGATCATTTACTTTGTGCACAGGTCTCGAGCATTTCCTAAAATGGGAGGCAGCATGCACGCCATTCAATGTTCGCACGCATCCCAGTCCCATTCGAGCGCTTACGCTTTCGTTGAGAGATTCCAGGTGTTGATGGCGCCATCCCGGTCTGCCGACACTAGCGTCCTGCCGCCTGGCGTCCAGAGCAGTGAACTAACGCTTGCCATGTGCGCCGATAGATCGTGGAGGATGGAACCCATCCCCAGGTCGTACACTCGTACGTGATGATCTTCTCCTGTGAAGAGAAAGTGCTATGTCAGCATCATTGTCGCTCCAATGTCATGGCCAAAAGGCTCTGGTAGACATATTTAAGCACTAAAAAAAACAACAAAAAAAAAA